TCTATAAGTTTTTTAAGATTAATTAGTCGCAGTATTCAAAAATATTTCTCTGATTTTTAAGATATAGGATATGTATTCAAAGAGATAATCATACAAAATCTGAGGCGGGGTCAAGGAAATCTTTTACATCAAAATTAAAGTGTGTCAGCTAAAAATATAATGTAAGCAAGGATTTCCGCTTATGATTTTTTTTTATCAAGAGGTAGTAAATTGAAAAGTTTTGTTTGGTTCATTAAAAATGCTAAAAAAAAAATGTCAACCTTAGAATATTTTTGTTTGGAATTGCACCCCTCATTAGAGTTTCTGACAGAGGTGGGGAGGGGGTGGAAAATATTTTCTAATCTGATACTTGAATACTGAAATTGTGTATTATTTTACATGTATTAATCTTAAGATCTAATCGATTTGTCCAGAAAAGCATTGGGGAATGCCAGGATAATTGGTATCTTAATGCTTGCCAGTCATTCTTTGGGTGGGCATTTTGGAGCTTTAACATGTATTTATGTCTGAAATAGTATATGATCTTCTGAATGCTTAATTATCAATGCATGTAGTTTGAACTCAAGAACTTCAAAAGTTAAGTTTTTACTGACCTGTCATTTTAGAATAAATTATTGTGGACCAAAATGAATGATAAATACACTGAATATACTCACAGGTCAATTCGACGGTCTACTTCGTACAAAAAAAAATTGATTTTTAGGTCACCTGAGTCACTCAGGTGACCTATTGCTATCTGTTCTCGTCCGTCGGCGTGCGTCGTGCGTCGTGCGGTGTGCGTCGTGTGTTAACATTTGAACATTTTTAGCTTCTTCTCTGAAACCGCTTAACCAATTTCTACCAAATTTGGCATATAGCATCTATGGGTGAAGGGGAACAAAAATGGTGAATTTCATGGTCCCTGCCCCCCTGGGACCTGAGGGGTGGGGCTAAAACCACTGAAAATAATGCAATCTTTAAAAATCTTCTTCTTTACTCCAGGACATCAAGCAGTCAAACTGTTGGCATCATAGTAATAAGCATTGAGCCCTCTACCAAAATTGTGAAATTCATGGCCCCAGGGTCAGGGGTTCTGGTGCTAGGGTGGGGCTATATAGAACATATAGTGAAAGTGCATTATTTCTTTGAAAATCTTCTTCTCTGCTCCTGGGTATTAAATAAACTAAATAAGTACATAGTTATGAAGAGCAAGAGTGCCTCATCCAAAATTGTGAATTTCATGGCCCCAGGGTCAGGGGTTCTGGTGTTAGGGCGGGGCTCTATTGATTATATAGTGAAAATGCATTACTTCTTTGAAAATCTTCTTCTCTGCTCCTGGGTATTAAATAAAGAAACTAAGTACATAGTTATGATGAGCAAGAGTGCCTCTTCCAAAATTGTGAATTTCATGGCCCCAGGGTCAGGGGTTCTGGTGTTGGGGGGGGGGGGGGGGCTCTATTGATTGTATAGTAGAATTGCAGTAATTCTATGAAAATCCTTTTCTGTGCTCCTGGTTATTAAATAAAGTAACTAAGTACATAGTTATGAAGAGCAAGAGTACTTCTTCCAAAATTGTGAATTTCATGGCCCCAGGGTCAGGGGTTCTGGTGTTAGGGCGGGGCTCTATTGATTATGTAGTGAAAATGCATTACTTCTTTGAAAATCTTCTTCTCTGCTCCTGGGTATTAAATAAAGTAACTAAGTACATAGTTATGATGAGCAAGAGTGCCTCTTCCGAAATTGTGAATTTCATGGCCTCAGGGTCAGGGGTTCTGGTGTTAGGGCGGGGCTCTATTGATTATATAGTGAAAATGCAGTAATTCTATGAAAATCCTTTTCTGTGCTCCTGGGTATTAAATAAAGTAACTAAGTACATAGTTATGATGAGCAAGAGTGCCTCTTCCAAAATTGTGAATTTCATGGCCCCAGGGTCAGGGGTTCTGGTGTTAGGGGGGGGGGGGGCTCTATTGATTGTATAGTAGAATTGCAGTAATTCTATGAAAATCCTTTTCTGTGCTCCTGGTTATTAAATAAAGTAACTAAGTACATAGTTATGAAGAGCAAGAGTACTTCTTCCAAAATTGTGAAATTCATGGCCCCAGGGTCAGGGGTTCTGGTGTTGGGGGGGGGGGGCTCTATTGATTATATAGTGAAAATGCATTAATTCTTAGAAAATCTTTTCTGCTCCTGGGTATTAAATAAAATAACTAAGTACATAGTTATGATGAGCAAGAGTGCCTCTTCCAAAATTGTGAATTTCATGGCCCCAGGGTCAGGGGTTCTGGTGTTAGAGGGGGGGGGGGCTCTATTGATTATATAGGGAAAGGGCATGAATTCTTTCAAAATCTTCTTCTCTGCTCCTGGGTATTTTTCAAACAAAGGAAGTGCATGGTTATGATAAGGAAGAATGCCTCTTCCAAAATTGTGAAATTCATGGCTCCTGGGTCAGGGGCTCGGGGGGGGGGGGGGGAGAGCTCTATTGATTACATTTATATAGTGAAAATGCTTAATTTCTTTCAAAATTTTTTATCTACTCCTGGTTATAAACTAAAGAAACAAGTGTATAGTTATGATGAGAAAGGGTGCTTCTTCCAGAATTGTGAGTTCGTGGCCAATGGGTCAGATGTTCTGGTGTAAGGATGGGGCTTTATTTATTTAATAATATGGTGAAAATGCATTTCTTTGAAAATTGTCTATGCTTCTTTGGATGTTCAAGACAAACAGAGTAAAAGTTTTAATATGCAAGGGTATTTTTACCAGAATTTTGAACACCTGGACCATTTAGTCAAGTTTTCTGGTCCTGGCCAGGGCTCTATTAACTTGTATTCTACTGAGCAAAGTTATTCCCCTTCATTCACCTTTGATATTTAATCAATTTACATAATGTATTTGAAAGCTTAATAGAATAAGAGAATTATGCAAGAAAATTTATTGTATAATAAAAAAAGTACTTTCATAGTTTTAATGACTTGGAAATAATAGATGAATAAAAATGAGACAAAAATAACCTATCTTTTTAAATGTTCTTCAACGGCCAAGAGAGGCCATTGTGAGAAGGAATAATATGGGGTTGAATAATAGACATTTTGTTAATAGTCTGCATGGGAATAGTGATAAATGGGGGGGGGGGGGGGCAGATAGATACTAGACCAATTATTTTGTTGATGCTAATCATACTATTTTCTTGCTGTTGGGCAACAAAGCTTCATTTATCAGTTTATGGATCCTCTAAATTGTTGTATTGTACTCAGGTGACCGTTAAGGCCCTTGGGCCTCTTGTTCTTTTTATCAATGAAATTTTCTCTAAAAGAGAATTCTGGGATATGTAGTTCCCAAAGTCGTTATGAGAGCCTGCAGTAGTGATCAAATGTGGGGAAAATCAAGGTATAAGCCAAAAGATCAGAGTATTCTTCTCATATTTGAAAGTGTCTGTCCTGTGGGAGTTTCTGCATATGTTGTATTGTCTGAAAACATTACATACGTGATGCATTTTCAGTTTATGATCAACTTAGCCCCACCCTTGGGCTTGATCCCAGGGTAAACAAAATTTACATATGTACTAAGAGGTTATTGTGCTCAAATGAAATATGGAGAAGACGAATAGTATTCAAGATAAAAGTCCATTTAACCAATACAAATCGGGAGCAGAGCAAACATCGACCTCCAAAAACGTCAGGGGTGGGATCAGGTGCCATGGAGGAGTGAGCATCCCCTGCCGACCGGTCACATCCACCGTGTGCTCCCTGTCATGATGGGGAAAAGAGGAACAATTCGTAGACAATTCAGTGTGTATTAAATGACTTCACAATTAGTATGAAAAACGTCAGTCAGCACCTGACTCAATGATAGGCTGCACCTTAATAATGCTTAATAATGACTTCAAACGAGACTGTTAATATCCTTGTTTCATAAACATGTTTGTCAATAGCTTTCAGATAGCGTTCATATGTAAATAAAATTAATCCTCCTGAATACCTGGGACAGGAAACTTAATTGCAGGGAGAGCTAAATATCAATAGCATGCAAATCCAGTAATAAGCCTAGTCCAAATATAAAAATTGACTCTTTTTCAGAAAAAGTAAGGTAACATTCCAAAATAACAAGCAGATAATTTTTTTCTGTGCTTTTTATCGAACATACTGACTTTTGTGGCCCACTGTCTAACTGTATTTATTCTACATTAAAACATAGTATAAGTCATCGATATTTCGAAATTGTGCCATTTTTTAAATGGTAACGACACAGGACCCTATATCAAAAAGAGTTTTTCCTGTGAGTACTTTTTCTTTTTTTCTCTGATATCTTTAGTGACAATGTTTCAGCTTTAATATTTAAAAATCCAGGGTTCTCTATCATTTGATATTTAATTGTGGCAGTCGTAATTACGCGAAGTGCTCATATTCGTTCTCTTTTCGCGACCGAAATCACATTAAATGAATTGAATCACACACAGACACCCTCACACAATCAATTGATCTACTTTTTGTGTGTTTGTTAGAAGAATTAAACATGGATAAGAAAGATAAAATGATCAGCCATCATTGGGATTCTCAATACTTTATAGTATCTCGTTTGAGTTTAATTAATATTTTCCGATTGAATACGATTTTATAACCCAACAAACAGTGTGGTATCCTCAGTATATAAACCAATCTGTAAAGTGTAAAATCTGTGTGTGTGCCTTAACGAAGAAAAAGAATATCATTATTAACATTAAACTTTAGACGTAAACCCCACTGTGTATTACCATTATCATAAAAGTATTAAAAAATAATGAGTATTTTTTGTGAAGATAATCAATGAATTATCCATCATATTATTCATATACGTAGGTGAGCTGGCGAAACACCCAAATGGCAGTTAAAAAGTAGAACTAGAAAAAACGAATAAAGCGATGAAGAATAAAGTACTTTTATCATTTTTTATAAATAATCCTGCCTATCAGACAGCAAACAACGACTTGGTATATATTTATTGAAGGTATATATACTGACATATAGATATCGCAGTGTACTACGATCATGCCTTACGCCTGTTTGATAATAACATTTCTACACACTATCTTGGGATATGGTGAGATTTTTTTCTTCAGATATGATCTATTTACAATGTAAGTTTTCATTATACATCATTTGTATCTCTAAACAACCCTCCATATTTTTTAGAGGTAACAATGATCCTTTGTTGTTTTTATAAACCTATCAAAATCATGTACCTGTTTGAACAAAAAACATATCTCAAAATGTTTACCCCCAAGCAATTCTCAAAGCCAATGTATTACAATTTACTGTTGCACATCACATAAGAATTAAAGAAAAGTTTATGGTGACATTATGATGTTTTGTAAAAGTTCATCGACAAAGGCAACTTTAAAAAAAAATGGATGAAACAGAAACTTTTTTACAAGAAAAAAATGGTATTTAAAGTTCAGTGCAGAATTAGTTTATTACGAAAGACTTCTCATTTTCAGAAAACATTGCTTTAAACAAACCAACACACCAGTTACATGCGTATATTTATAAGAAATATGGAACAGCTCCATTCGACTCTAGTAATGCTGTAGATGGTCTAAAGTCTGACCTTTCACCCTACAAAGGTCAATGTGTCATATCAGCTAATGGATACAAAACTGCCACCTGGTGGGTAAACCTGACATCAGTCTACAGCATTCATGATATAAGAATATATTATAGGACCGACAATGCACCATGGGGTATTTGATTTTTCTTCTTCAATATTATCTTTTCATCATTATGAAAGATACATGTAATTCAAACCTTGCCAAAAATAACTTTTTCAAGAGCTATTTTTTTCTTTTATGTCATTAGTTATGAAACAGAGCTTTGTGAGTTTTAAAAGAGCAAAAAAAAAAGGTCCTTGAAATTTTAATCTTAATCAGATATACCTTTGAAATATTGTACACATGTACTTGCATGATCTCTCTCATCTTTTAGAGCCAGAACAATGTACAGTATATAAAGAATGAAATAAAAAGTGTCTTTCAGTTGAATTCATATTTTGTGCAACATTCTACTAGCGTATTTTGTAAAAGTTTAAATAATGTTATAAATTAATTCAAGTTGATTCATTTCAGTTTAGACTATTTAAAAAAGTAGTCTGACTTAAAGTAAGAAACTAGTCTATTTCTGATAATTTCGTTTCGTTATAAAGGGTCGATAGATTTTAGAAATATTTGCGGTAGGCTATCATTATTTTAAAAAATTTAGTAAATGCTTAATTTTTGTAAGGTGCATCAAATGGCTACGCGACAAGGTTTTTGGGATTTTATGTTTATGTTTCTAACACAACGAACAGAATGGATGGTCATTTATGTTTTCATGACACGAACTACAGTAGAGCCACGATCCCGGCCGTCCTTGATATAGCATGCCCTGTACATGGACAGTACGTCATCTACTACAACGAGAGGCCACAGAATACATCATATTCCAATCAGTATTCAACAGATGCACACAATGAATTATGTGAAGTGGAGGTCAATGGTATAATTCTATAAACTAATCTAAAAAACTGTAAAATTGAAATTTCTAAATGATATGAACCTTAACTTTTTACAGAGAATGGAATACTTCATTTTTGTATTTCCATGTTCAATTTATAAATTTAATTCATAGCACGGTTAAAAATTGGAGAAAAAAAACTAATAATATAGATATACAATTATTTTGAAAATGTCCATAAAAGTTTCGTTTCCTTACCTAGATTGTACATTTCAGGTTGCAATAAAACAGGATATTATGGGACAGACTGTTCCCTTCCGTGTCCTTGGAACTGTCGTTACTGTCACATAGAAACAGGTGCTTGTCGAGGATGTAAACCTGGTTACAAAGGACGTAATTGTGAATTACGTAAGTAAACTGACGGACGATTATCAGGAATGAAAATTTGGCTACAAAAGACGCAACTATGAGTTGCATAAGTAAACAGGAATGTAAACCTAGATAAAAAAATGTAATTCTGAATGACATAAGGAAACAGACAGATGCATATCAGGGCCAGAAAAAAAATGAAAATTATGTGAAAGCTTCAGTACAGAGTGTATATTCAAGTTTATTCAAATCATGGCTGCTCAATAACTCTGAGTGCCGAGTATAGGTCTACTTTTGAAGTCCATCACCGGTATATGGTGACATCTCTATATGAGGGAAAAATTTTCGAATGGGACGTAAAACAATATACAATCAATCAAACAAATCATGACCTCCGGGATAGGGTGGAACACTGTAGGCAATTAAAGTTTAACATAAGGAATATATATGAAAAAGCCTTTGAAAACTTCTCAAGAACAGCAAAGTCATGATTAGTCATATTAACATGGAAACATCCTCAGGTAGTGTATATTCAATAAAGTTCAAATCACGGACCCCGGGGTAAAGCGGGCCTTCAATAGGAGATCAAAATTTGATATTGGAATATAAAGGGAAAATCTTCTAAAAACATTTTCAGGAACAGCAAAGCACACATTATTCAATTAATATGAAAGCATCCTCAGGTATTGTACATTCAAGTTTTCTCAAATCATGACCCCTGGGGTAGGGTGGAGCAAAATGGTAGGTAAAAGTTTTGCATAAAAATATAGAGGAAAAATCTTTGAAATGCTTCTTCTTTTGAACAGCAAAGCCATTATTTGTCATATTGATATTTATAAGCATTCTAAGGTAACTTAGATTTAAGATTGTTCAGATCCGGACCCACAAAAATGAGTTGAGGCTTTAAAGGGGATCAGATATATAATAAGAAATCTTTTTAAAAATGGCAAGACCATTTTTATCATTTTAATGGAAAAAACATTTCCAAGTTGTGTGGAATCAGTTTTTGTTTAAATTATGAGCCCCTGGGGTTAGGGTTGGGCCGAAAGGGGAAAAAAGTCTTCTTCAGAATAGCAAGGGGATGTTTATCGTATTAACATTGACGCATCCCATGGTTGTAGAGATTCAACTTTGATTAAATCATAGCTCCCTTAAGGAAAGAATCTGGTCTACAATATGAAGTCAAAATTCTAATGAAATTAAAGAAGAAAATTTGAAAAAGAAATCTGTTGAAAAACGGCAAGACCAGTAATTCGGCTTAGTGTTATGGTCCGTGGGTCTCTTGTTCTCCTGTATTGTAAGAGTATGATGGGAGAAATATGACCAGGACATGTCCTGACGTGTTGAGTCTGTCTTGCTTACAGGCAATATCATGACGTCAGTGGTTCGTGTCGTGAAGTTTGAGGGTATATGAACCTTAAACAATTGTATTTTTTAATGTCAGGGTGTGATGGAGGACGATATGGCCAGGACTGTGGCCTTGCTTGTGGAGCCTGTCTTGGTGGCAGACAATGTCATCACATCAGCGGTTCCTGTCTGGGAGGCTGTGACGCTGGGTATAAAGGACGGCTTTGTAAAACGGGTACTTCCTGAAATCATTAAACATAGCGTATATGAAAAAGCCAATGACATTATTATAGTTAAAGACTACTTCTTTGTCAAAATATAAAAAAGTCCTTATGAAGTTTAGATTTGACAATCTCAGCAAGATACAGTTAATTTAATTTCTCAAGTGTCACTATCATAAAAGGAAACAGTTGAAAAATATATTTTCACTGAAAAAATGGACTAACAATTTCTTGATCATTCTTGTAAACATTTGTTTATACTTCAATTAACAAATATCTTGAATAATTTAATTTAGAAAATGACACCATTCATCCTGCAAATTTCCTTAATCATTTCAGTATGTTTGCCAGGAACATTTGGTAAAAACTGTAAAGGAAATTGCTCTCAGAATTGTGGAAAACCAGGGAAATGTTTTGCCAGAACTGGGGTGTGTGTTGGGGGATGCCAGCCCGGATGGGAGGGGCCTCAATGTCAAAAGGGTACAACACAACAGTTTTGAAAGAAATTTCCTTAATATCCAAATTTGTGGGGTTTTTATTTTCCTTGGTTCAATTATTGATTTGTCCATTCAATAGTTTGTAAAGAACAGAAGTATGGTGAGAACTGTATCCATTTATGTGGATTTTGTCGGAACTCTACCTGCGATCTTGTTGATGGATCCTGTATGCGAGGGTGTGCCGCGGGTTATCAAGGACCACTCTGTAATAAAGGTACTCCCCCCTGCAAAAACTTAAAATAAAATTATTATATTTGTTCTGTACATCTCAGATAGTTCAAATATGAAATTCTCTACATAAACATATCGTTTGTTATCAGTTTCTTGTAAGCTTAGCATTGATAATTACTAAAGAAATACAACTTAACACCTTCATCTATGACATCATAATCAAAAATTCAAAGAATCACTTTTGATAATTAGCCTCGCTAAATTTTTAAGATTGAAGCAAAATATGTTATACGTGGTACTGAGTCTGTAGAGAAAGATGTGGGCTTAAGTTTGCTTATAGGTTAAGAAACATGTATTTCAAACATCAATATTAAAAAGTTAAATTTTGTTTAGTAATGTTCAGTTTTATGTAATAATGTTTTATTATATCCTAACAATTATCATATTCTAAAAAAAACATATATTGAAAACTATTTAAATAAAGTTGGTCAGAATGGGTTTTTTTTTTCTCAAAACCATACATTTACATACCGGTGGTAGTAGGTTTTATAATTTTAGTATAATGCAAAGCTTATTTAATAAATATATACTTGTTATATACCTGTTCCCTACATATGTACGAGTAAGAATATAATTTAGGGTGTGTAAATGTGTATATGTGTTTAATATTATAAAATATGCTGTTCGGAAATGTATCTTTAAAAAATTAACATTAAGTCTGAGAAGAATAAAATTGCATATTTATTTTGTCTAATAAAGCGCTTAAACAATTTATGATTTTGCATCCATGTAGTATGTTTTTTTTTTCCTTAAGTGCGGGAGATAACCGGTCTGTACTTCAATACACATTGTCTTTATTAAAAATAAAATGATAGCTTAAAAGTATCGAAGAAATGGGAAGATAATAAGCAATTATCATGCACAAATTGTGAGCAGAGCAAACACGGTTCTCATAAAACAGAGGTGGGTTGAGGTGCAATGGAGAAAACACCACTTGTCGACCGGTTAGACCCGCCGTGTGCTCTTTGTCCTGATCAGGTAAACGGAGAAATCCGTAGACAATTCAGTGTGATAATAATGGCCTAACAATTCGTACTAAAGACGACAGTCAACATTCGACTAAACGACAGATTGTATTTGCAACTAAGGTCATTGTATCGACCATAGAATTGGTTACTTTATACAATATTTTTGATAACCTTGTGCATGTCATCAACATATTTGTCAGTAAGCTGTCTGCTGATGACGGGGCACGAAATATATTTTGCTTGGCTCAACCATAGATAACAATTCATTTTTATTATCATTACACCATTAATATTAATACACCACTTCTTGAATATATTGTTGTACAGTATTCCTGAGATTTCAACCGAAGTAAGCTATTGACAAACAATTTGATCGACCATAAAACTTACAAAATGCATGATGACTTCAAATGGGACTGTTGATAGCCTTGTTTCATCAACTTGTTTGTCAAAAGCTTGCATCGTTTTAGAAATTGTTTAAACGTAGAGCATGCTCTTGAGTATCGAATCAACTGGGAGACAAAATCCCCATAAGCAGATGATAAGCGTATAAGTAAGGGATTACTTAATACTGACAATTAAAAAAAATGAGGTCATCACGTTTATCATAAAGCTTTGTTGTTACGTCACCATTAAAGTCTTTTTCTGGTAAAATATCCAATATGAAACAGATGTGTCAGACTTTGTAGTATCTTTTTATTTCAAGCTCACTGGGATATATCGAGTGCAATTTTTTTCTTTTTTTTTTCTGACAAAGATTTTTTTTTAGAGTTTTTCTTAACTGAAATACATTTTTCTTATGCATGTACATGTATTATCTATTTTTCTGATATACAACTTTTTAGTTATTTATTTTTATGACACGATTTGTTTTAGTATGTCCTGGAGGCTATTATGGGGATAATTGCAATAAAGAGTGTAGCCTCTTCTGCAAGACATCACGTGACTGTCACCACGTGACCGGTCATTGTACAGACGGATGTACAGGAGGGCGGCGGGGAGAGCAGTGTTTACAAGGTTGGTATATTCTAGCTATACTGAGGATCCCATATGAAGACCTCTCGAATATTACTGGAATTGTACTTTGCTAAGAGTATAATGATAATTGATTTTTGTAATTATTTTGTGTAGTTGAAGAGAAAAGAGAGAATATGGAATGGAAGTCAAGATTTAATGGTGTCCTTGCAGCTCAGTGCATAAGCATGGCAATAATCATGGGATTAGTATTCTATATGTATCTCAATAGGTGGGTTTATTTGCATAATATATTTACAATTATTTGCATAATATATTTACAATTTAATTTACCATCTAACCTGTTTTATTTCGAATCCGTTTCTAGCAATTGAATATATATATATATAGATGAAGCGTTTATTGAAATTTGATATGAATTTCTTTTTGACAGTACTCTAGTAACAACTAGATACAATGTAATGTGGCAACTAAAACGTTTGATCACAATTAAGCATAAATTACTAAGTAGTATTCATAACTTTAAATTCGTTTTAAAAAGAAACAATGTATTCTATATGATTATATTCTATGCATCTCTGCAGAAAAAGGACCCTAAAAGGACAAAAGATGCAAGAAAATGGGTTTAAGATGGGGCCGGTCAACATAATTTCTGGTGAAAATGGCGGAGATACCAGCAGGAAATACCCGTATCAAAAGCTTTCCGAATGGCCAATGTAATTAGTTCTTCCCAGACCGACGTAAACAGTGTCCTAATGGAGAGTGTTACTTTTTTATTGAAACTTTATTGTGTATTTCAGAAGCATAAAAATGAGATAGGGAATCAATATTACTCGTATTGATTTATTTATTCTGTAAGAAATTTTTGCAATTTAATTCATATTTGCATCAGTCATGGTAGCCTAGTGGTAGGGCGTTCGCTTCGTGATCGGGAGGCCGGGGTTCGATTCTTTCTAGACGCGTCGCGTCAAACCTAAACGTAAACATAGGTAGTGACTGTTCCTTCGCCAAGGGCCCGGTACTAGAAGTGAAAGTCATGGGTCTTTCGAATGAGACCTTAAAAACCGAGGTCCCGTGTTACGGTAGACGTTGGCAAGATAAAGAACCCTCACTGCTCAATGGCCCTGAGTGCCAAGTATATTTCTAAATTTAAAGCCCTTCACCGGTGTATGCTGACCTCTCTATATGAGTGAAAAATTCTCCGATGGGACGAAAAACAACGTGGAATCAATCATTTGCAAATAAAACAAATACTTTTATCACGGATTATTATTATTTATTACAGACTATGAAGTTAATACTTTAATGACACGTTATGATGTAATTTAACATGACATAAGCTTATTCAGAGAATTTGGGTCCCCCGCTTAAGGAAAAAAGAAGACGGTGGAAGAAGTGAAAAAATGTGCAGATGGATAAGGAAAAAGGGTCAACTTTGACTTTCAGCATTTGGTTGTAAAGTGAATAAGTGTCTTTTACGATTTAAGTCTTAAGTTTCATTGCAAAAGCTAAGAGAGAATTAAATACATTTTTTGATCTTGGTCTATGACCTTTTGAGCTCAAAAAGGTGTAAAATTTCATTGCAAAACCTCAAACATACCCGGAGTTTTCACTAGGAAACCATTTTTTGCAAGATATGTATTTTTGTCTTAGAAGCTTTGACCTAGACACCAAAAGAGGTCTTCTTTAAGTCATTGGTAGTTTTGATGAAAAATTTCATAGAAAAAGCATCAAAAACATTAAGTTATTATCTGGAAAGGATTTGTAAAGAAATTCTGGCCTTGACATTGACCATTTGACCTAAAATTTAAAATGATATGTAACTTCACTGAAAGTAAACTTAAGTTCTTATCTGAAACTTTTTTTTAGAAATATATGAATTTTTGGCCTTGACTTTTGACCTCAAACACAATAGGGGTCTTTTTTAGGATCCTATATTATTCGGGAGCGTAAGTTTTACACACGGACAGCATGTATGAATTGATGACCCTAATCTTTAACCTTTTCATCTTAAAATCCAGCTCGATTAAGAAAACTATCATCTGGAAAATTATTTGCAATATATGAATATTTGACTTTTGACATTTTGACCTCAAAATCAATAGGTTTATTTAGGCAATACGGAGTTGTGATATAAAGTTTCTTTGAAAAAGCTCAAAGGGTTTTGAGATTCGTCTGGAAACAAAAGTGTAACACACAACAAAATGACAGGAGGACGGACAGACCCATATTAATATCCCAAATTTTCAGAGAAAGCAGGGATAAGAAATTTTGTATCAGCTCAAACTGAAAACTGACATCTTTTTACTTTCTCCATACTGTCAAATACTTTCAACACAACACTGAATTCACACATTGCACATTTATATTGATTTCTAAGACATTTAAATCATAAAACATCAAACATTTTCTTCTACAAATATAATTGATCATTGTTTAGCTATAACTACTCTATGGATCGGGTAATTGCCTTTCAAATTTACCATGAGGTACTAAGGGTAACATTTACTGGTTGGTAAATGTGTTCGATGTAACCCTAAACATGAGTAGACAAATTAAGATTTAATCCGGCAATATACATGTATATTTATATAAGGATATGCAGAAACGAACATTTTCACACAAAAAAAATAAATTCAACGGGGCGAATGAAATTTTCTACTTAACAATATGCAGAAAGTACAGAAAGTTTAAAAAGAAAAAATTACTTAGCCCCCTCCCCCCCCCCCCTACATTTGTGCTAGAACTCTGCGTTAGAACTTGGGTATTGCTTAACAAATCGTCTTACACCATGAAGTACATGTGTAATCAACGTGTTTGCAATAATAGGTGATTGCTTTTGATTTATTATTTTATCAATAAGTGCAGTGTTTGCTAAACACCTTTCTTTCAAAATTCTGTCATAAGAAAATCTTAATTGAAAAAATAAACGTGTTTAATTTACAGGAAAATATTTTAAATACTTAAAATTAGATTAATGTCAGCGTAAACGTGAAGAAATTTCGGTAAAAGTTTTAAAAGAGAAATTAATTGTGACGTACATAGGTAAAGTTCTGTGTTATGTGTTTTTCAAAATTTTCTCGTTTTAAGCCAGTTGTTGGGAAAAAAAATCTAGCAAGACACTATGATACACCCCCCCCCCCCTTTCGGATTGGCAACACGACAATGTTCAAAGAATACCTATCATTAGAAGCTTATATTTCACTAAGTTGGCTTAAATGTCTACCGTCTCATACATTTAAAGAGAGTTAGCTGTATTCCTAACACAATTTTTAAATAGCTGAATTCAGGGACTCACGTGAAGGTGGGGGGGGGGGGGCATATTGAACGCTTTAACATTTCATAAATGTTAAGTTTGAAAAGACAGCGTCACGTGATTCATTCGACTACATAATTTATAGAAAAAGGCATTATTGAAATAATCAATGATTGTATTTTTGTAGTTTGTTTACTGTATGTACTGAAGAATTTTTTTTCAAATTTTTACTACGTGTCACGAGTGGACGTGTTTTCACTACTCTCAGTCATTTTGACCATTTGCATTATTTGCAATCTGTGTATCCAAAATTTAACCGAATTTTTGAAAGTTTTTTTTTGTGGTGATTTTTGGATTAAATGGAGAATAATTTAAATCTGCACTGAACAGTGAGTACGTACTCAGTCCTACTCATTTATCGGCTATTGTGAATATCCTTTGTGTATATAGATTCTTACCTGTGAATACGTTCAACTTTGAACAGACTTCTTTGATTTCATCTACATTACAAAATGGCACAAATGTTAAAACCTGTTTACATAAAAGACATTGATCGACCCAAAGAAGATAACGAGCGGGTAACCAACTTTGATCTTCTGGATGATGTCAGCCACAGTGTATGTGCAGACGCAATAAAATGCATTCAGCTTGACAGAAATTTGTGGAGAATCTATTTTAATGACAAGCAAAACAAGGATTCTATTTTACTTGAGAACCCCAGTAATGAGGCCCTAAAAGTTACCATATGAGGTGTTCCATTGTCAGTGGACGACAGTGCAATACTAGAAATATTGACAAAATTAGGTGCATGCCCAAAAAGTGCATTGAAGTACGAGAAAATCAGAAACCCCTCCATTAATAAAATGACCAAATGATTTAAATGGCAATCGCTTCATCTATGTCGAGCCACTTATGTGCAAACCACTCCCACGATTAAGCTACTGTGCTGGGCTAAAAGGTAAAATTCTACATCGTGGGCAAGAATCCGAACAAACCCCACTAGCCTGCACATAGTGCTGGGAGAGCAACCATCATGCCCGAAACTGCCCGAACGAAAAAAAAATATTGCTGCTTGCCCTAATGTAGATTTTCCGTAAGATCCGTGGAATTCCATAACAAATTCCGTGGAATTCCATGGAAAAAGTGTTCCATGGAATTCCGAGGAATTCTCGAGAGTATTGGGACGGAACTTTTTTGGAATGGTATGGAATTTCAAATCTAGCCTGGAAAAGAGCGGAACAATGCCAGAATAGAAATTTGCGGAAATAGCTGGAAATCCATGGAATTCCAGGATATTTGGAAATCTATGGAATTCCACGGAAATCCAAGGAATTCCAGGAAAATACAAAAACTGGAATAATCAAAATAATTTAAGGGCCAAATAATTACAAAAAAAAATGACTACATCACAATTTTTCATAAATCAAATCTATATTTTCAAAATAAAAATCATTTTTGCTTTACAATGTGTTTGGGGACAAATATTGCATACACACTTCTATGTATAATGAAAGCACAAATTTTAAAAAGTATTATCAATGAAAGTATTTTACATCAAAGATTATTTAAACAATGTTAAAAATCCACAGAAAAATATCATTACTGGATGATCACCTTGGTTTAATTAATGAGAATTATTATAATATACATGCATGTACATGTAGTAAATTACGGTCTGCATGAGAAACAAATGACTTTTGGTTAAAGAAAATCCTTTGTACCAAGAGTAATCTCAAACATATGACATTTTTTAATAATAAAACAAAATAGATTTTAAAAAAAAACATTAATTATGACCTTTTGCTTCATTGAATGACCTTGGGAAAGGTCACTAAAGCCTTAACAGGGTATATTTGCAACATTTGTATACAGTTACAATGATCTTCCAGTGGTCCATATACATT